CCCTAAACCCTAAACCCCACAGGTGGTAGCCAAGCTATGGGCTCAGGTTGATGTGCTCCCCCTCCTTCAGCTGCTCCGGGCCCAGCGCATGGAGCCCTGCTCGCTCGCTACCTTCCCAGAAGCACCCCCAAGGCTTACTGGAATATGGGAATATAGGGTTTTTTTTAGGGTTTAGGGAATAAATCATATAGGGACTATATATAGGGATCATATTCCCTTATTCGCTACTAAGAACCAGTAGGGAGGGCTTAGGGACACAGGGATTAGGGTCATTAAGGTTTAGGTTACTGGTACAGCGATTAGCAGGACTCAGGGATACAAGGATTATACTCAGGCTTATAGGGGTATTCCACACCTGTTTTAGGATTGATGAAGGGCGAACGACAACTTCTTGCGAAACTCTCAAATTACAAGTCCGTTTTGCGTCTCAATTGAGTTGCTCTCAGTGCTAACTTGGGCATGTGCTTCGGGAACCTGAGACTAGTCACGCACGGAAGAGAAGCGGGTGTGAATGAGCACCGAAATACTCGTCCGCGAAGTTGTGAGTTATACGGTTAGCTGACACTCCTTGGCACTACTCGAATATTCTTGGCCAACACGATGGCATCGGGCTTTGATGGGATCTTGGAGGAAGCTGGTTGGCCATGTCGATTCTACACGCTTGCCTTCCTGTGACACCATCTCAAAATCACTTGCAATTCCCTGGCATGCGATCATCTTCCGTTGCGCAAGTTGCTTGCCTTCTGTCAAAGAAGCCTCTGCTTCTACCAGGAACCCACCAGAATTCGCCAGGGAAGGTTACGAAGCGTTTCTCTCGGATCTCCTACCTTAGGTTAGTACGGAATAAAGGAGTATCTTTGTGTACATTGTATTCAGGGACTATACTACCCTGATTTCCTACTAACCCCAAGTGACTTACTCGGCTTTGATGTCACGGCGCACCTGCCAAGTCCACCAGGTAAACGCGTGTCTCGCGCGTCGTGGAGCCGGGCAGATGACGCAGCCGGGAAGATGAAGTCTGCCAAAAATGAGCTGTAGTCTAAAAGGGTTTAGGGTTTAGGTTTTAGGGTTTAGTCTAAACTCTTATATGGGGGTTTCCCAAAATCAGGGGTACCTTTTTGGGGGTGCGCTTAATAAGGATTATAGTATATCGGGGTCTATATGGGGGTCCCCCTATTCTGGGAAACTACCATATAGAGTTTAGGGTTGAGGGTCTAAAGTCAAAGCATCCCCCTTAATAACCCGCAGAATACTCTCCTACATCATCCCCTATATATTCCCCTTTAAGGAGTTTAGACTATTGGCCAAGATGAAGCCAGAGAGTTCTTTGGGCATGAATGAGATACCAAAACGAAGGGTACCTTCCTGGGAGTCCCTGTAATATGGACTACAAGTAGAGTTGGGTTATTCCCCCTTACAGTAACTGTTACCACAAGGGGTAATAGGAATTATAATAGCCCCTTAACAAGGCCCCCTTTAAGGACAGTTACTGGGTGGGGGAATGACCCAAGACTAGAGTATATTGGGGCCCCCCCTGTTCATGGATTCAGGGAGCAACTTCGACGCAGCCACCAAGAAACAGCGCAGAACGAGCAGGCTAGCCTGCTGAGACCAACAGAGGTGGAGCCTCAATTGCTGGAGCTTCGTGCCGCTGCGGAGATGACATGACGAATGAGACTTTCCCAAAAAAGGGGGACCCAGACCATAAAATACTGTACGCTAATTCTTATTATTTCAGGGACCCCAAAGAGGTACCCCGAATTTTGGGAAATGCCCAAAGCTGGTTTGGATCCCAGCAGCATGACCACTGCATGGCTCCGGCTAGATCGCGGATTAAAGACCGTCTTGCCGACCATTCGTGTCGCGGCCCCCTGTCCAGGAATGCGGAGCATTGCAGAACCATGCAGATTCTGTGTGCCAAAACAAATGCATGTCAGCCTCCCGCAGCCAGCTATGCACTTGCTGCTCCATCTCATTCAGCTCACAACGCCTTGTATTGGTAGCAAAGGAGTCCACATGCGGGGTAAAGAGTCTGCAGGCGAAAGGTACAGGACTCTTCTACTTGCCTTCGGGTCAGGCCCTGCGGCACCACGTGCTTCTCACTGGAGCGAAGGCGCGGCAACTAGGCAGGGTCACAAAGCAAGCAACAGTTCTGACTTCCACAAGTTTCCTACCGTAAAGGCTTGCCTGGCGTGACCCGTCGAGCAGGTCGTACAGGTTGTCGTTGTACACCTAAAGGCTTCAAGATTTGCTGAGGCGGACATGTTGCGCTTGTGGCCCTCGTGCTTCATGAATTCCGCGGCTTTTCTATGACTCTGGCCTCTACTGTAGGGAACGGGCATTCAGGTTTTTACAAAAAAGTCCGTGCCTCCAGAAAGCTCAGCTCAACGGTGGGAGCGCTTGAAGCATCCAGCCCCTGGACAGTCCAGGGAAGACACAAGCAATCAGCCCCAAGTTCAAAGACAAACAGCCAAAAACGGGGGGGAGGGGGGGGGGGTCCGGCAGCTTCTTGGGGGATAGAAACGATCATAGTATGCTTGGCTCTATACTATATTGTGGTAACGCATGTGGGAAAATATCTAATGTAACCCATTATAGTAGTTTCCATGTTCTTTTCCATTATCCCCATATAACCCCCATATAACCCCAATGTTACCTTAATGGGTACCCTAAACCCTAAACCCTAAGAACCACCCTACATGGATAATGTGCCAGCCACGTTGTGCCTTTGACCGCATCATCTCTGCGAGTTTGCTCATGGCACGGAAGGCCACCCCCTGAGCACACAATCATAGGGTTTAGGGTTTAGGGTTTAGGATTTAGGGTTTAGGGTTTAGGGGCAAAGCTACACCCCTGAAAATGAAAATGATCAACATCTGGGGTCTCCAAAAAGGGGTTCTGCTTGAAAGTTTCCATGACAAGGATTCAACGTATTTGGGAAAAAGGGAGACCCCTCCTCCCCTGCAAAGTCCATTGACTTTTCCGCAGCAAGAACAACTTGAGAGCCTGGTTCTGGTTGGCCCCCGCATTGTCTCGCGGAGATGGTCCAGGGGCAAAATCACCGAACATGGTGTACGTCTTACCTCGGGCCACTTGCATAGAACTTCTGCCTTCGAGCATCTCCCCTACTGCCTTCCACAAGCGGTAGGACGACCTGGGAACTGCCAGAAGGCTGGAAAGCTCTCGCAGAGTTTTGTCAAGTTGCCACTTCCCGTCTGGCCGTATGCCAATATGCCTTAGCTGGATGAAGCTTGGGAAAGACAAGGTTTTGCTTCTTGCAGCTGCTGGCATGAACTAGCAGCCGTTGCTGTTACTGTACTCGGCCTGGCTTTCACACAATTTCCTCACTTGCTGGATCGCAGCTGTGCTGATGGGCTTATTCAGCATGATCAGTCTCATCAGCGTCTGGAAGCCGAAAACCTTAGAGCTTGCCTGGCCAAGCCACAGATGTGCTCTCCGTTGATAGCGTGTGGGAGCACTTGCTCGCTGACATAATCGCAGACCTCTTCCTGCCGCTGGATGGAGGACTGGTTTAATTCGGCATCGATTTCTACGCACGAGCATAACGCATTTGGAGCTTCCTGCAACTTCACAAACTCCTCGGGCTGGGGCCATTCAAAACGCCGTCTGAACTTGCTGTAAATAACTCTGTCAGCTACGCACCCCGCTTAAATTTCCGCTCTGTAGCAATTGGCAAGACTGCGAGGGTGGGGCAACATAAAGCAAAATGCCAAGTCCAATCGTCAGGATTTTGGGTTTAGGGTACGCCGGGTACGCATTCTTATGCGACTTGCTAGTCACTAGTCTGATTTCCGAATCTTGTCGGAAGCGCGTCACAGGTATACATGCCAGTACGTGATGGCCATTGCTACTTCAGTCATCGCCTCAACATCAAAAACAGGCGTTGCAAAATACCAACTGCACACAAGGCAAGAACAAATGGTCGAGTCTGATCTTTCAAATTCTTAGCTCCTGACTCCTTTCTATCCGCAAATATCCATAGGGATTTAATGGGAACCCCTCTTGTGAGAAACTTTTCCATATCTGTAGTCTTGTCGAGCTCACATTGCGGGGTATTTCCGCATTGTGAGGGCCCTTCTTGTGTGTCCCATGAGGCCGCAGCAGCTGGTAACTCGCAATCTGGCCTAAGTTTCTCGGACGTTTGGTGCCTGCCATACTAGCACGGGGTTCTTACCACCTGGTCGGGTGATTACAGAGTTTAGGGTTTAGGGTTCAGGGTTTTTTGTAGATCGCACATGCTCAAAACAACATCGGGCTCATGAATGAGTTAAGACTCACAGCTGGCGAGTTTTCTTATGTACTCCTTAACGGTCATACTCCCTCATGCCCCTCATAATCCCAGTAGGGTCTGTACTGCCCCCATCTTCTTACTGGTGCTTAAGGAGACATTCCCTATATCACAATCACCATATACACCCCTAGAATGATACCTATATGTTAGGAGGACCCCGCACCCTGTAATAGTGGTATAGTAGGGATATAATAGGACCCTAATATAATCCTTATTATCCTTTATAGTCACTATTACAGTGTGGGGGGTCCTCCTAACCTATATGCACTCCGCCACCCTAAATCCTAAATCCTAAGCACCAGCAGGCTTTAGCAAACCTCCAGTTGTGGCCACAGAGAGTTGCAGAGATTCAGCCGGGCCTGGGTAGCCGAGGCCTCAAAGGCCTGACAAGTCCATTGGACATCTACTACTAGTAGACTATGATAATAGAAATAAGAAGAATAATAATAGTTATATGAGTAATTGTAGAAGAAGTAATAAAAGTAGAAGTAAAAACAAGATAACAATAGCAATAATGGTAATAGTAATAAGAGTATATAGGGACAGTAGTAAGAATCCGCCGACCCCGCTCTGCG